GCTACATCTTGGATGTCCTGGGTATGTTGTAGAGTCTCAGCTGTCTCCACTGTAGATGACATATTCACCAAACATCCTGACATACGTAACCACGAACGTGTCAACAATGATATAAAGGTATAATTTATAAATATCCGCTGTGGCAATAAATACAACATGTAAGATAAATATTTTTACAATACCACTGATGATTTGTCAACATGAAGAATAAATGTACTTGCGTTCGCAGAAGCAGTTTCATACTTAATGAAACTGCAGTGTAGACTGGATGTGTACTACGTACATGTATTATGAAATTGTTTTATCATTATGATGATTAAAATAATTTGTGCCAAGATGTCATTTTAATGGATTTTATTGTTGTTGCCATGTCATGAATATGTAAAATATTATCTAACATCTGGTATTTTCTACGGATATCGCTTCGTTGTACAATTTATTTTGTTTCCAACTTGGGAATTTAGTGTCACCTGCATGCCTATCATCACAGATTATGTCCATTGTTCTCCAAGTGCGGTCAACCTGAAAATCCCTGTGTGTCGCCCTTATTGTTGTTACAAACATCACAAATGTCTACGTCACGGTACTAAACCTTTTCAGTATACGTTAGTAACTCTACAAACATAAAGACTATCTTTTGACAAAGACGTCGTGCAAGATAAAAGTAATAAATCAATTAGCGTGTTATCGGTTAATCCTTTCATCTGTGTTTGTTTTTTTAACTCAGCTGATAATTCCTTTTGCTGCACCTGCATGCATATATTACATAACATGTAGTACTATACCTGTTATAAGTTCACTAGATGACAAAAAAACCGGGTAAAATCGTTCTATTGCATGCAATATTAATTTACTACAGAATCTTAGGGAACTACGCTGTGGGTTTTAAAATAATAGGTGATCAACCATCACATTGTTCTTGATATGACTAAATATCAGGTAAAAAACACAGAAATAGGATCAAATTGGATCGGTCATATACGATCAACGCGTCGGAAAATCTGAAAAAAAGCTTATACTGATTTCTGGAGTACTTTATTACGGGAAATACATCCACCGTTCATATTGTTTCACTCTTTAGGTTGAGGAAATTCTGCCATGGTTGACAGCTGCCGACATCGCGAGATGTGACGGACATTGTAAAAACAAACAATTTACATAAACACATATTGCAGTTATCAGTGTTTTTCCAAGCTTGTGAAGGGTAAGCAGACTATTGGCGTGTTAACAATAGAAATGAAAAAAACAACCTAATTGACTACCCATAAGTCATTGTTTGAAATGTCGCCATCTTTGTTCAAACGTACACGCGCGAGCTTGGAAAAAACTTCGTTGTTGTTTTCAAGTAAGTCTATGAGAGTAAGGTAGTAGAAACGGCAGTCTGTATACTTGCTATAGTTTTCTTGACACATGGCAACAAACTTGACAATCGAAGCTTTGGAAACAAGGATCCGGGAACTCAAGCGATCTCAACGGAAACCCAAGACAGAGAAATTGGCAGGTAGGTTTCAGATAAAATTAATTATTTTCTTCTTATCATAGCAGTCAGTTTGCATCGAATTAAACGTTTTCGGTAGGAATCTACAGTAACGGTGCGCTCGCATTTCGATTTCTCCACGGTTATTAATGTGGACATTGCATTTTGGTGTGAAATCTGTTAAAAAACAACATTATTGTTGATACCAGCTGAACATTCCGTTAAAATATAACCATAAGACAAGAATACCCTTGTGTTCCTGTACGTTGAGTCTGATGTTTATATAATTTTTATTTCCTCCGGCAGCTCATTTTGTTGCTGGGCACAACCAACACCATAACCAAATATTTATTCTTCAGTCATTTTTCTGAGTGTAATTTTGTCTCAGTATTATTCTTTTCTTGTCGGACTATTTCAATTATGTATCCAGCTACATTGGAACCGTGTACTGGAGCGGCGTTTATATAAGACACTTGGCTTGTTCACCTTTCGAGGGTTATGGATGGAATAAAATATATTTTAAGAAATTGTTATACATGTATCCAGCAAGGCAACAAAATATAGATGAAACCAGTAGTACATGATATTCCGGTGGAAAATATTACCAATCGACATATGTTCATGATCCAAATGTGTGTCTCATTTTGTTTTAGGCTATTGTGAGAAGAATCATGGAAAAGTTCCCGGAGTACCTTGAAAATCCATTAAAGTTACTTATTTAAGGTAAAAAAAACTTACCCCAAGTTTTATTATTGCTCGTCATCATAATCAAGATATATGTTGGGTTTTATAAGATTAGACACGTCAGTAATACAAAAATACAATTAATTCGTTTCTTGTTCACCATTCGGTAAATCTAGCATCTAATTATTTCATTGTCAGGTATCTAGTACTAGCAGTAGAATTGACATAGCATACTATTATGTAGTGCATATTTGCTGCATAATCATGTCTGTCATGTTAATAGAAAACTTCTCACACCCTCGCAGTAATGCATATACATGAAGTTGATATACCACAATTACTTATTACTTGTTTTGATACATGATAATAATCAAACTTATGAATGTTTGTGTCGGATTGTAATAATCTATTATTGGACGAATGAAAATTAATTCATTTCCTTTTCTTAATAGAAACCTTTTGGATAATCTGGAGGAGCAAGACGGACGATCGACGTCGGCAGATTACAGGAAAGAAAAACACAGGAAAGATGCTAAAAGAAACAAAAGAATCTGATCTGTAAGTTCCTGAAACTGGATTATATAATATGATTTGTACCGGTTTATACACTTCCTGACACCAGTTTAAAACACCCTGAGTCACTGACATGATGTGCTACATATTATCACATCGCTATATACCTGTAATAGAATAACTTTCCTTATCACATCTCATTACCCATCACCGTAATGTGCCATTATCTAATTAGAACAAGTGCCGCTCTCAAGAATAAATGTTGGACATAACTTTCGCAGTGCAAGAATTTCATTTTTTCCCCCAGAAACTCCAACACCTACTGAAGAATCTAGCTGGGCAGAGAAAAGAACACAGAAGGTGGCTGCAGTCCTAACCCTAGAATTGACATCGCCAGTGGTGTCTGAAGCTCCAGCGGCAAAAATGAAGAACTTGCAATTGCGACACCATCCAACAAGATGCTTTCCAACCACCTAAAGGTCTTAGAAATAGGATGGAATGTCTAAATGTACATTCAATTATCTCCTGTAGTCACCCTGTTTAGGACAAGAACATCTAAATTTGTTGTTTAAGATTAAAAATTAATGTCCCTCAAATTAAAAAATGTCAACCCCTCCATAATAGTTATTTGAACAAACTACTACTCATACAAAATTTCAAATCCATAGGGCCTGTGATGACCCACACACACACACACACACACACCCTCTCTCTCTCTCTGTGCTTTGTGTCAATGTTTAATTGTAACATTGAAACATAGATATGATATGTTTATGATGAATAAAGAGAAATCGACTGACATGCCTGATTTTGTATTTATTTATTTCTATGTCCATGTGGTGTTGAGGTAACTGTAGTTGAAATGAGTTTATTTTATATTTCAATGTATCATGAATAAAATATATGACCTAATACATTCAAATATAATACACTCATTTCAACTACACTTTAATTAGTTGAATAATCATAATTTAATATGGACATATGGTAATCCCCCTGAATACTAATGATTGAAACCAAATGAATCCATACAGATTCTGATTTACTGAAACTTATGGAACATGGTAAATGTGATTAATAGAAACGAAATTCACAGGAATCATAATTGAACTAAGTAAATACAATGTATATGAAACCATCTGAAAGTAGAGGATAAGGAAACCCAATGGAACCTCATAGGAATCTGCGTAACGGAAACGCACTGGAACCATACAGGAATCTGGGTAACGGAAACGCACTGGAGCCCCTACAGGAAAAAGGGTAACGGAAACGCACTGGAGCCTTACTGGAAACTGGGTAACGGAAACGCACTGGAGCCCTTACTGGAAACTGGGTAACGGAAACGCACTGGAGCCCTCACTGGAAACTGGGTAACGGAAACGCACTGGAGCCATGCCGGTTTCTGGGTAATTTGTAAGTTTCCGTTTTCCGGAAACTTGAAGGAAATGTAGAGAAACGTTCCGGAAACCTAATTGAAACTTAAGTTTCCATTTTGTTTCCGTTAGGTTTCCGGGGTCCGGAAACGCAGTTATTTTTGCTGTGATAATAGCACGACTTGTTTTATTCACCAAAAATGAATGTTTGCTTACTGCAGCCATTGGCGGTGTGTCCAAGGCAGTGTATCGCTTGGAAATTCATAGTTCCAATCATTTCATGACCTTATCTTTATCATTATCTCAGCTTATTATTAATTGTGTAATATTATATCTGCCTTTATATTAGAATCGGGCACTTCCTCTCTATATCTCTGGAAGATGTCTACTTGTTAACTTGTTGAATTCGTGTCTGATAATTAACGCGTTTTCATGCCTAAATATACTGAACCACAAAAGAAACGTCGCTTTTCAAAACCAAATGCAAAATTTTGTTCTTACAAGGTTGTATTTGCATTATGATTGTACCGTTTTGTTAACATGTTTTTCAATCCAGACTGACAGTTATTACCAACGTAAGTGTGTTGTCTGATGAAAAAAGCATATCGACCAAACGCACCGAAAAAGGCAGACATAGTAAAAGGTTCTGTATGACATTAGTGAAAATGAAAATGCACGTGCATGTCGTGATAACCCTACCAATGAAAGCGAGTCCCAAACTCGCCTCAAATCATGTTTGTATTGACACAATCAGCATGGCACGATTTACGAGAGATCAGAGGAACCAAGTCTCAAAGAGCGTCTGACAATGTTTGGCAAGTGAGCTTGTGGCAAAAGGTAATTGATAATGTAATTTCGGGGAAAATGTTTAAGGTATAACTTTATGCATAATAATATAAAGGCATGTGTATCATTGTATGGATACAACTCTGCATATTTATACAGCTGTAGAGGGGTGCGTCAGAGAGGTACTTATAACTGATGTTAAGTCATATTTAGCAAAAGATGCTTGAGAAGGCATATTGTATGCTTATATTTGCAACATTATTTAAAATAAACATGTCTTTTCTCATTGGTTTAAGTTATTAAACCTTGAAAACCAGAATAACGTATTATGCATACACAAGTTGATAACTGTACTGAATATCCGCCACCTACGTTGGTTTATGTTATTAATGTTTTAGGAGACTGTTTTGTCCTACTGCTTGGGAAATATTCAAAATGTTATCAATAAGAAGTGGTTAATTTGTGAAGTCAAAAATATTTCGACAGATCAGTTTAGTATTTAACACGGGGGCATTAATAAAAAGGCATTATCGTCTGTGGGTAAGACATATGATTATGTAAAATCTTTGTTTCAGAAAAAAATATATTTTATGTCCATTTACAATTTCCTAACCGATTCCTACGTTCAGAACTAGTAATATTATGATGCCTGCTGAAGTAGGGCGTTGGAATAATGCGCCATTCCATGACAGACAATGTCTTATTTGTAATTGTATTGTATTTAGTTATTGTTATCTGAACATGAAATTGAAAATGAACTTGATGTTTAGTTAATAACCTCATTACAAGTATTGTTTGTGGTAGAATCACTCAGATTATTTCATAAAGATTTACACTTCTGCCTCTGAAAGGCATATAGTTATACCTGTTTGGCACATGTAGTTATAGATATACAGAAGCATTCCAACACAAGTAACAGTACAACAGCGAATAAAGTACCAGACTCAATATTTCACGAATTTACTACTAAATATTTGATAGGGACACTATGCTCGCTCACGATATGTACAATAATATAAAGGCATGTGTATCATTGTAGGGATACAACTTTGCATATTTATACAGCTGTAGAGGTGTACGTCAGAGAGACACTTTGTCGCCTGTACATTTTCAGTACTTAAAACTTATGGTGTGATATTTAGCAAAAGATGCTTGAGAAGGCATATTGTATGCTTATATTTTGTATCATTATTTTAAATAAACATGTCTTATCAGACAACCAGAATAACGTATTATGCATACACAAGTTGATAACTGGGTTCGATCCCCGGTGGAGGCACCTAGGTTCGGGACCCGAGGTGGGCACATTTGCGTAGTATCCTTGGACAAGATACTTAGATCCACATTGTCTCAGTTCACCCAGCTGTAAAATGGGTACCCGTGAGGATGTGCTCGCAATGTGAGTGTTTAGTTCATTGCGTCTAATAGGCAGCATGGCTGTATGGTCCCCAGGGAGTTGAAAAGGTATCGGAAAGTACGATAATGTCCTATGACCGAGGATAGTAACATATGTAGCGCCGTGAGCAGGCAATGTGCCTTGATATGAGTGCCATATAAACGGACTATTACACTGTGACTAAAGTCGGGAGACATCATATATATTTTTGATTATTAATAGATGTTTTATGAAGAAAAGACCTTATATGCGTCAGTTATACCCCACAACTCCAAACCAGACGGTTTTGTCTCTCATCTGGACACTCGGAATATCCTAATATTAAGAAGAGGAGTAAATGGTATTTTGTGATAACGTTCTGAAACCTTCACAACATATAATATTGAATACAATATTTACCTACACTTTAAGTATGTCGGTAACCTTCACAACATATAACATTAAATACAATATTTACCTACCTTTAAGTATGTGGGGAACCTTCGCAACATATGATATTAAATACAATATTTACCTACCTTTAAGTATGTCGGTAACCTTCACAACATATAACATTAAATACAATATTTACCTACCTTTAAGTATGTGGGTAACCTTCACAACATATAATATTAAATACAATATTTACCTACCTTTAAGTATGTCGGTATCCTTCACAACATATAATATTAAATACAATATTTACCTACCTTTAAGTATGTCGGTAACCTTCACAACATATAATATTAAATACAATATTTACCTACCTTTAAGTATGTCGGTATCCTTCACTACATATAATATTAAATACAATATTTACCTACCTTTAAGTATGTCGGTAACCTTCACAACATATAATATTAAATACAATATTTACCTACCTTTAAGTATGTCGGTATCCTTCACAACATATAATATTGAATACAATATTTACCTACCTTTAAGTATGTCGGTAACCTTCACAACATATAATATTAAATACAATATTTACCTACCTTTAAGTATGTCGGTAACCTTCACAACATATAATATTAAATACAATATTTACCTACCTTTAAGTATGTCGGTATCCTTCACTACATATAATATTAAATACAATATTTACCTACCTTTAAGTATGTCGGTAACCTTCACAACATATAATATTAAATACAATATTAACCTACCTTTAAGTATGTCGGTAACCTTCACAACATATAATATTATTATACAATATTTACCTACCTTTAAGTATGTCGGTAACCTTCACAACATATAATATTAAATACAATATTTACCTACCTTTAAGTATGTCGGTATCCTTCACAACATATAATATAAATACAATATTTACCTACCTTTAGTATCACAACAATACAATTTACCTACCTTTAAGTATGTCGGTAACCTTCACAACATATAATATTAAATACAATATTTACCTACCTTTAAGTATGTCGGTAACCTTCACAACATATAATATTAAATACAATATTTACCTACCTTTAAGTATGTCGGTAACCTTCACAACATATAATATTAAATACAATATTTACCTATCTTTAAGTATGTCGGTAACCTTCACAACATATAATATTAAATACAATATTTACCTACCTTTAAGTATGTCGGTAACCTTCACTAGAGCTGTTTCATCAGATGTGCAAAAAAGACAGTGTGGACACCTGTGTGTTGTTTTAAAAGTAATTAATCAATTGATGCATGTGGCATACGAACAACAGATGTCTGCGTCAGAATTTAACGAAAGGTGTGTCTGACTGTCAACAAATTTTGTCACTTAACATCAATCGGTAGCGTGTCTTACATCACACGACCTACGTATGGTTAGCCAGTCAGAAGCTTTCTGTTGCTGGGTGTTGGATTGTGATTCCTCCGTGTGACTGAAATGAAGTTTCTATCAAATATCATTTGGAACGGTTTTCTGTAGCCAAGTTTGTTGTGTCCTCTTTGTTTACTTGAATTCTCTGGAAGGATATGTGATTTTTACTGTTGTTACGAGTGAAGGTGTAGTAAAGGGGTCTACCATAAATCCACTCGCACAATTATATGGATTACACAACAATTGGACGACAGTTAAAGAAAGTTGTTAATGCTTTCCTAATAGTTGTTTGTTACAAAAGACTGGCTTACAAGTGAACATAATGTATAGGCATTCTATCAACAATAGCTATGGGCAAAGCAACGTGGCATTCGTAGCTTGTGAGTCATAGTCACCTCATTTCCAAGTCTGTGGTCATCATGATTTCACCTGGAGACATAGTTCATTGGAAAGAGTTCCTTCCGTTCCCCCATATCCTTTCTTCCCCATTTTAACAGAGCTAACGCTAAGTGGTTCGGCCCTATATATTGTAATTAAGTTTGGGGCTTTTAGTTATTTTTGTGAGTTCTTTAGTAATTGTTGTGTTAGGTTTTGTTAATAAGTTTAGTATATATTGATTCATAAATATTATTTGAGATGGGTGAACGGGAGGAACTCTTACCAGTTGATGACTCTCCTTATTGTTACAGTACCCGACGTCGGTGTGTATATTTGAGAACATCGATCCATGTCGCCGGAAGCGTATTTCTTCTTTCTTCTGTCCTACGGCTGCCTCTCAACTATCTATAGTATGACCAGAAATTATTGAGAATTTTAGGAATATGTTTAATTGGATTTCTAGTATAAACAACCTTGACCAGTGCTTGGTTTCACTGAAGAGAGACAAGTCCGTTAATCTTTTTTCATTAGTTTGTGAAGAGTTATCCCCCTTTGTTTACTTGCTAGCAGACGACATTTTCAGTGATCCTCAGTATGGATGATTTAGAGAAGAGGAAGTTGATTTTTATTATAACAAGGACATCAGATCAGCTAAAGTGATCCCTTTGTCCACTGTTCATCGTGTTTTGAAAAATATTGCAAATTGCTATGGCATTGAGCACCAGGGAGGCGCAGGTAGGCCCAGAAAATTGACTGTCGGTGATAGGAGGCGGCTTGGTATTCTTGTTTCTAAAAACAAACGAAGGAGTTTAGAAAACTTAAGGTTGGATATTGATAGAGGAACTGTGGCTGTCTATAAGGAGACAATAGAACTGAGCTGCATGCAATGGGTTGGCAGAAAAGTCGAGGAATTCTATCACCGATCATGAAACCTGAACAAAAGGAGCGAAGGTTGAACTGGTGCTTACAACATAGAAATTTTAACTGGGACAATGCGATTTTCTCAGATGAAAGTTCTGCATGGCTGTTTCCTTATACACTGAAATTCTGGACCAAACAAACTGAAAAACCTTGGTATCAGTGCCCAAAGTACAGTCCGAAAGTTAACGTGTGGGGTGGCATATCTGTGTTAGGGGCAACGTCCCTCTGTGTATTTGAAGGTAATATGAACAGTGAGCGGTACACAGATATTCTCGAGGGACATTTACTTCCATCTGCTCACGTGTTCTATGGACATTTTAGGGTTTTCCAGCAGGACAACGACCCAAAACATCGTTCAAAGCATTCACAGGCCTGGTTTCGGACCCAAAATATGACATTATTAGATTTGGTCTAGAAGCCAGACCCCCCAAATGATGAAAATGTGGCACAGTTCTGGCGACCGAATAGAATGTGATTTTTCACAATCAGGAATGATTTGGCTTTGATTTAAAGCCGGTTGTCATCAGCTACCGTGCGTGACTACCGTGCAGGGGCCCTTTTAGGGTGCAACATGTCATGTCAGTTATTGCAATATTTTAACCGATAACTGGATGGTTTAATTTAATAACTCTAGTTTGGTTTGACCGATTTTCATAACAAAAATAGTTTTGGAATGCTCAGACCATGATTTAAAATTGTGGACAATAATATTACATATATGTTCATCGCAAAAATATTTTGGTAAGGTCAAAGGTCAGTTTTAATAGAAAGGGCATTTGATGAGAAAATGTGAGTTGAACTTTACAAAATTATGTGTTTCTGATTAGTATTTAGTACTTCCCAATTTTTAAAATGCCACTCAAAGAAGTAACCCATGCTTGTCGTAAGAGGCGACTAACGGGATCGGGTGGTGGTCAGGCTTGCTGACTTGGTTGACACATGTCACCGTATCCCAATCTCGTAAATCGATGCTCATGCTGTTGATCACTGGATTGTCTGGTCCAGACTCGATTATTTCCAGACCGCCGTCATGTAGCTGGAATATTGCTTTTTATTGAGTAGTTACCTACTAGCCATCATACAGGGAAAGGAAGTGCCAGTTTATTATGTAAAGATATGATTTGAACTCCCAGTTATGAATTGCCACACGATACACTGTCTTGGACAGTAGCGTGAATGGCTGGACGAAGCAAACATTCAGTTTTGGTGAATGAGAAAAGTCATACGGTCATGTTCTGAAATTAGTTCTTGAAATGCATGACGTAGTGGTTTCCGTTGGTTACTCAATATATATTGTTTGTGTGTACCACTGCATTTCACAGTCGGACCACCCACACCTACACCACACTCCACACTCCACACCTACACACCACACCCACACCTACACACACACCACCTACACCTACACTCCACACTACCTACACTCCACATACACACCCACACCTACACACACCACACTTACACACTCCACACCCTACACTCTACACACACTACATACCTACCCTACACCCACACCCACACCCACACTCCACACCCACACCCCACACTCATACACTCACACCCACACTCCACACCCACACCCACACACCACACACCACACACACCCACACATACCTACACTACAATTACACCCACACTCCATACCCACACCCACACACCCACACTCCACAATTTCCACACACACCCACACCCACACCTACACACACACCACACTCCACACCCACACTCCACACCTACACCACACCCACACCCACACCTACAATTCCACACCTACACCTACACACACCTACCACACTCCACACCCACACACACATTTCCACACCACCCAACCCCACCACACCCACACCCACACTCCACTACACACCCACACACCCACACCCTAC